GCCAAAGCTTTTAGGGTGTTGAGCTTGGCTTTGGCTTTCTTGGCTTGGATGTCAGCATGAAAAGTGGGTTCCGTTAGCTGTCGGTGAAAGTTCGTCAACGAGTGTCAATATCCTTTGACCTAAACCGACTAGACAAGGAGCTCGTGGCTAAATGTTTAGGGCAACAAGGCCCGTCAAGGGACTCAAACAGTATGCTAGCTACTCGTCGACGAACGTTCATCGACCGCTAACGGACATCAATTGTCCCGCTGCGCATTTGCTAGTCTCCCTGGTCTTTCCCGGAAATAATATCTGCCTATACTACTCGCTGCTACAACTGCTGTCAGGGCCAGAGGAATGAGGTCCAAGGCAAAGGCGGAGCAGGACAAATGCATTCCGTTAGCGGTCGGTGAACGTCAACGAGTATCAATATCTACCGACCTAAGCCGGCAAGACAACGAGCTCGTGGGTCAATGGTAAGGGCGGTTGACTATAATCAAAAGGTCGCGAGTTCGAGGCTCGGGTGGTGCACCACTGTAGTCTGCGTATGATTGGCTGACGACGGCTACTAAGCTTGAAATGGCCATTCCAGTCTCCCTTGTCTTTGCCGGCAATACTACCAGTATGTTGGATCTGGGCTCGGATTATCAAGGTGATTATGTCCCCGTACACAGCATCAATATGGACGTGATACTTGAAAGAAAAGCTCAGTAGGTGGCATTTGAAGACCGCTTGTATTCATACATAATTTAGACGGCGAAATCAGTTGCCGAGCTGAGCGTATGTCAGATGAACGGTTGGATTTTCATTCAGACTACTGGCTGCCCGGAATATATTCTTTAGATGCCTCCTAACGTCCATTTCAAGACGTTAGGTGAAACCGTCAAACCTTCAACTTGTAGTGAACGCCTCGTCTAACCTTTGGAGGAGGACGGTTGGCAGTTTAGTAGAACCACAGCTTTGAAATTGTAGCCTTATTCGGATTTACCTCGAGAGTGTTGCGGTCTAGGATGAGCGATCTACTGTAACCACAAACATTAAGATTGTTCCGTCTAATGGAGAGGAAGGCAATCAACTGTTGGGAGCAATGTGTTGGGTACACAAGGCAAGTTCCCGTGCATTGACTGTTTGCTTGCGTGTGAACAGTGCGACCGTACGAGAGCGTGTGCGCAGCGAAGTGTCTTGCACGGGTTTGGTATGTTCGTGTCAGCACGCGGGAGTGCGTGTTGGGTGTACAATTGGTCAGGTTAAAATGGACATTCAGGGAGACATAAATACTAAGGACCACGGATGACAAGGCAGGCTGGCCTATGAGCGTAAGATGCGCATTGTCTGCACACGTGACTGCATAAGCTGAGGTCAACTCTGGGGGCTGCTGCGCTTAGGCGGAACGCCTGTTAGTCAGCGGGATTGTCTCAGCAGACAGGATGCAGGAGGAAGGGGAACACTGGAGGAGGTGCTAGGTCAAACCTGAGAGGAAGAGCGCATAGGAACAGCTGCTACAAGGGTAACCTCCACCAATAATATGACATAATCAAATTTCCAGAACAAAAAGTGATTTGGTTGCCACTTACTTGACGCTGCAATACTGACTGGTGTTCATTTTTTGCTGGTTTTGCGTCTTAAGTTCTGACAGACCACCCTGCCCCCAAACCTGATGGTGAACCTTACACTGTAATACTAATAGAATCAAAACATGACAAACACAGAATTCAAAGAGGGTAAACGTACGCA